TTTCTTATTGTCGACTGTTTAGCCTTGTTAAGCTTTGCTGTAAGATATTCCATCAGAACTATATTTGGAAACCTAGACATCTCGAATCTCATAGCTGAGAGCTGCAGACAGTTTCCTTAGTAGCTGTAAAAGCTGCCATCAGCATCCTTCGCTGCAGCAAAGAAAACTGAAGAGCTGAGTCATCATGTAAAAGACATAAAAGTTCGACAGTGGATCACTGAGATCAAGTACTTCAGATAATATATCTACTGTAGAGGTTTATATATCCGCTACTTTAGAACATTCCCAGAGTTACAAATATTACAGGTGTACTAGAAATATCTCCCGTGAGGTGCTGCACACGCTCTGCTGACGAGCCGTTTTCATAGTGCACTGAGAACTGATTTTGGCGAGATGGAAATTTAGGTACTTTTCTATCGAGAGCCACAGCAAATGCACATGCCTGAAATGTCAAAAGACTGCAATGGATTTAATATCAACAGACGTGAAACAAAGCACGGACATTACAATACGTATTCATGAGAGGAGACTAAAGCAACGGACCCGAGTCTCACAGCGCCAACTTCTTATCAGAGCAAATTCAGTAAATATGAATCCTTAAAACTGGGCTATTTACGCTGTTTAATCTGCTCTAGTTTCTTAAGGTGATTTCCGAATGTGGTTGCTGTATTTATTTGACATGTAAAAAATAAACCCATAAATGTATGTTTGTTAGTTTGTCTCACAAATGCAGAACAAGTAAACACTCGAATAGGAATATGATTAATATTAGACATTTATAGCTTCTCAAACTATTTTATTATAAGCGCTTAGCAATCCAATTCAACAATAAAAGAAGCCTCGTGCGTCTTTAATACAGTGATAGGAAACACGACAGCTCACGAAAACCTCAGATTCTATGCGGAAATATTTTTAAACTTTGGCGAATGATATTTCAGCCCCCAGATATTTCGATACGGTGCTACCTGGCCCTCTGAAAAGGTCTGGACACCTCAGAGAAGACCACAGGGAATCAAAATAAAGAAACTGCAAGATGCGGGTCCTTCGAAGCAACTGAGGTGGACACAGGCCTACTTTTCCATCTAATAAGAACTCAAAGCAACCCAATACTTCATCCACTGTCAGTTAGGCACTGTTCTTTGACACTTTTGGAAGAAGATAAACAGCCCAGATCTATTTTAGGCCCCCAACACACTGCATTACATTGCATAAACAATGCTTAACCGTTCACAATAGTGAGCTTACACGGCTGAAAGAGTTTGGGGGCTGACAGGGGGGCTTGAATCACGTATTAGGGACTTTTCAAAATGTCCGAGAACAGATGCTCAACACAACAGCTGGTGGTGGTGAGCTCATGTTGGCGAACGGTTCCTTTTCCTCGGAGCTGAGATGACACTGATTTACCGAGAAATTGTGCTTTAAATGACAGGACACGGTTCAAACCCAGCAGACAAGCAGAAAGCAACGTTACAAGAAAAGGCTTTTCCGGCCACAGGAAAGGACATTTAGACTTTTCAGCAGGCTTAATCTCTGCTTCTGCACTAAAAACCGTACTAGCTTAGCCAAGTTGTGAATTAGTAAACACGCTGAATGAACAGCTGAGGTAAATCCACCAATATGCTAGGAAGTAGCACCATGTTCTACTACTAAAGTGAGACTGAGTGAAAAGTAAGTAGTCAAAACAAAACACGAGGCTGAAGTTGGCGTCTTGTTCGAATTTTTCCGTTCCACCTTAACTGGTGCAGGAGTTCCATTCTGGCGCCTAGCGCGGTGCCTCAGGCGCCACAATGTAACTGCTGCACCATTTAAGGTGGAACGGAAAAATTCGAACAAGACGCCAACTTGAGCTCCGCAGCTCCAACACGTAAAGCTGAAGCACCGTGGCAGACTCGAAGGAGCCGGAAGGCTCCCCCAAAGTCTCGTTTCGACCACATTTCAGGCACTCAGCGGTCAGAAATGCCCACAGAAAAAAAGTTAGCCCAACTTTAGCCACCACAAACTCACCTCTTCCTCTCGGCCCCTCTGGCTCCTGTGTCCTTCTACCTCTCTCTCTCACTCTCTCTCCCTCTCTTTCTCTCTCTCTCTCTTAAAAACGAACCTAAACCCGCCTCAGAATCACACTGAAAACTCGAGCTCGCCACACTCTGACTTTTCTTTCGCAAGGAAAACGGCGACGAAACTTTCCTCTCTTTTTCTTTTCTCTCTTCTTTTTTTTTCTCTCCTACTCACTCTTCCCTCCTCCCCTAACTTTGCCTCTCCTCCTCCTTTCCACGGTCTTCCGCCATCGTCACGTGGATTGACGATATTTCTCGAATATCGAATATCGGCTAGACTTAAAGGGGAATTCCAACGATTTTTCAAAATTTAGCCATAATTTAATCATTAAGATGTGAACACATTCTAAATGGTCTGGTCTGATAGGCTTTGTTCTAGAGGAACCTAAATTTAGAATTGTTCATAGTGCTTGTGATGGGAACCAAATGTCCTTTTACCTTTAAAACGAAATACAGAAAGTTATTACTTAAAATTAATATGTTGTCTGATTGACTGATGCCTGATACATTATTTTACTGTTATATTTGCAAATATAATTTTTAAATATATTCATGGCGGAGAGGTACATGCAGGCAGTCGTTAGCCAAAATAGTCCCCCAAAATCATGTTCTTGCAGATTTACCACTATGTTGCCATTGTCATCATTAGGTATAAAAACTCGGTTTAGTTTTGGATAGTAAATAAAATGGCTGTATGTGTGTTGTTGACACTGCAGTTCTCTGTGATGCGCCGTTCCACATCAAACCCACTCTGAATGACTTTGTTTACATCTCAACGATTAAATTATCCAGGAAATTTGAAAATTTGATGGATTTCCCCATAACCTTACTTTGTAAGCTGTAAATGCATAACAATGTTCCATTGTAAATCATATTAATTTAAAGTTGTAATAATAGTGTGGCACATGGCTTAAAATATTTGAGGAAGCTGGTGTGAGTAGTTCATGCAGTTATACTATAAACGGAGAACTGAAGAGAAAGTCTGGGTGAAAATCAACGAAATAAATTCATTGCTACTTCTGTTGTAAACAAGTCTGCGGTACAGCAGTAGTCTTTATAATGAGGTTTTCAGGTTTAAAGATTAGGAAAGGTGGGAAGGTGGGAGGACCTCAACACTACTACAAGCGTGGGCTGTTTTGTAATGTTGTTGTTTTTTATTTTAATTGTTAGCTGGTGAACACAGAAGGAAACGCATAGCTAATGTTATCACTATCTCCAAATCACCATTACAGCAGAGAGAGTTACTCAAATAACAGAAATGACTCATCAGGTGAGGAGGCCAACAAGCTGAATGCTACTGTTAGCAAGCTGGCTACACCCCTCACTTCAGGTTAGCTTCGTTTCACTCACTGAAATGGTAGAATACTTGTCTCTGGTGTCCATTTTGCAATGAAAAAATATAGAATCGCTGTTTTATTTACAATTTTGTTTGACAACTTGAGGTAAAAGTGACTAGCCTGGTTGTATTTATTAGCCTATAGATCAGTGGCTAGGCTAGCAGTCAGACATCACAGGGATTCCCAATGTCTGTATGATATACTTGAGCTCACTGAAGAATGAAAACATGAAAAGAATATGAAATTGTGAATTCTGGAGGAATATAATGCTGCGCTATCATACTGCATAACACAACAAGTAGCAAATTACACTGTAGCATTAAGGTGGAATACCCTGTTAATAATGCTGTAAGCTTTTATACTTTAATGTTATACATAGCCAGTTTAAATTGTAAGTCGCCATATAACCCATGTAAGGTTCAGATGTTTTGCAAATTATTACCTGAGTAAGGTCATGTTATGGCAGTTGTGATGCTGATAAGCTACACTAGAACCACAGGACAGATTTAATGGGGTTGATGGCTACTGACAGCAACAGGAATTTGCATGCATATTGCACACCACATATTTGACTACCAGTGACGTTTATTCACCCCTGCAGCCCTGAAACAAAACTGATCTGAGATCAGTGTGAAACACAGTGAAGCATTAGCTTGAATTTTATTAAGCCCAAGGCATGATGCACCAGTGTTTTTACAGACAGTGCATGAGAAATTTTCTGACTGCAATAGCAAGGCCTCGCCACAAGGGGTCAAAACAAGTGAGATTAATTACCAATATCTCCAATTTGACTCATTCATATGTAACCTAATATATGTGAATGTGTCCAGAATTTATGCTTCACGCTGAATCATCAGTGTTCAGCCAAAAGATAAAGGCTTCCCAGAAGAGTACCCTGCTGAAAAAATACAGCTTAGATCATGAATTTAAGGCTGGACTATGCTGGTCTGGTGCTGCTTTAGCTGGTCACCCGGCGTAGTCATGCTGGTTGGCCAGCATAACACCATCCAAAACACAACATATTGCTGCTGTCTTGCAAAAACCTTGTATTTCCATAATTTTATTATCGTTATTATTTTTTTGCATAATTTGAGTTAAGTCCAGTTGCCTTTCATTAACAATGTGTGATAAACAGACCAATAGAAATGCTCCAAAATTACTTGGAAATTACTTTAATGTTTTTATCCTTCTCCTGGACAGTTAGCACTCTGAACATATAAGGTTTTGTTCCTACAGCAACGGTATGCTGGTTTTGCCCTTGACCAGAGTGCAATTTCACAAAGCAGGATTTCTCAGCCATATAGCCATATAAGCCAAAAGTCAAGCCTGTCCAATAGGATAAGATCTGAGGGACATTCCTACTGGACAAGCCTGAACTTTGGGCTTAGGTTGTAGGTTATGGGGCTAATTGTTTAACACCCCCCAGCTATGCTAGTCTATACTGGTTTTTCTGGGCTGTTACTGCAGCAAAAAGAAGGCCAAAACTTTATTAATAGCCTTGATTTCAGAAGAAACGCTGGTATCTACAAATTTTGGACAGCATTATTTTGATTACACTGAGTGTACAGGCGGATAAGTCGGCCTACTGTTTACCTGATCAGACTAACCAGCTCATTAACAACCCGTTATAGATCTAAAGTGGCTGTGTTAAAGCAGGAGAAGCGCTAAAATGCTCAGGGCAGCGGGCCTCCAGGACTGGGTTTGAGAAACACTGCACTATTTAGAGTACTAACACTAAGAAGTGCACAACTACGCCAATTGGAACACAGCCCAGAAAAACCACGTGAAGAAAGCATGGCTGCATTTGGGACCGGAGCAGCAGCGCTTCCGTCTTGGCGCTTGTTGTCCCGCCCTCCTTCGAGCTCATTGGTTCGTTTAGTGTGACGTACCGCCACGTCCGGCCGTGTCTCAGTTTGATTGGACCGCAGAGGCCGTCTGGATGACAGTCAAGTTTTCTCCTTCGCTCCTCACCCGGTCATTTGTTTTGCTGAGCGGTTCTGCAGAGGAGGGCAAAATATTGAGTTATTCTTACAGTTTAAACCCTTCACTTAATGCTATAGTGAGATTTGAACATTATATAACCTCCCAGCGCCCGAGAGAGCCTCCATGATCCATGCTGGACGTGTAAGCAAGTTAACTTACCATAGTAGTAAGTTAACTCAGCTAAGTAAGCGAAGTATCTCTCAAGCTGACTGAGCTGGTTTTTAATTTCACATTATTTATTTGTTCTCATGGGAATAATAGCTGCTTCCTAAGAAGCAGTGCTCTTATCACGTTAAGTTCTTGGACTGAATTACACCAAGTGACCATTCATTCACCAAGAAGGTAAGAAGGGACGAGCCTGTATGAAGCTGTGCAGTAAAAGAGTTCCTAATGCATTTTGGTTGACCATGCTTAAAGGGGATATTCCATAAATGTTTCAAATGTTCTAGATAATTCAGTCCTTGAGATGTAAACAGTCATTCAGAGTGGTTTGGTGTGAAACGGTTCATTGTAGAGAAACTTAACAATCTTAGATTTCTTTACAGTGCTGGTGAATGGAACCAGGAGTCTGAATGTCAACAACACAAGTAGCTACAGCCATTTTATTCGCTATCCAAAACCACCTGAGAACCTTTTTGGAAAAAAATCCTTTGGGGAAAGGACTCTGCATGTATCTCTCCGCCATGAGTGGCTTTGAAAAACACATTTTAGGCTGAAACGTCACAAAACTAGCATAAAACAACTATGCATCAAGCAGCAAATGTAACAGTTTCATGTAATGATGTTCTGTGAGAGTTTTTTTTTTAGAGGCATTTCAGCTTTTATAGGCTTGGTACGTCTGGTTCCTATCACCACCAGTGTTAACAGTTCTTGCTCTGTAAGTTTCTATAGAATGAAGCACTTAACATCAAACCACTCTGAATCACTTTGGTTACGTCGTAATCATTTAATTCTGCAGACATTTTGAAACATAACCCAAATTCACCTTTAACTCACAGTGCTAACTCTGAAAGTCTTCAGTCATTAGTGACTCCCTAAAACACAGAGAGAAACACGAAATGACAGCTGAATGAAACTGAAGGGTCACAAGTTTAATACAAGGACGTTGCAACAGGAACAGCTGGAATAAAGGGCTGTTGAAAAAGTATTTCCCCTTCCTGATTTTCTCTATGCATATATGTCCCAGTGAATGTGTTTTGCTCCTTAAATAAATTAAATTGTGATTTAAAAAGTGGGTTTTGTGTTTGATAAGACTCTCTTTATGTAATATTACATTTTGTTCAAAGATCTAAAAGCATCCGCTGGGACAATTATGCAGTAGCAGAGAAAGTCAGGATACTTTTTTCTTTGTTTTAGTCAAAACTGTTGGTTAAAGAATGAACATCAAAGTGTGAGTTACTGATTGTCGTGCAGGGGTCATCAGTTCCAGTCCTGGAAGGCCAGAGTCCAGCTGATTCAAAGACTAAATCAGCTGATCAAGTAGTAACCAGGTTCAGTATGCGTCCAGGGAGATCACTAAACTGTGCTGAACTCTGAGCCTCCAGGGCCAAAACTGATGACCCCTACTGTAGTGTCATGTTATTACTGCATAATATCACAGCATCAGTAATTGTATTTACTTGCTTCCTCAGAGCCTCTGCCTGTCTCTCTCTGCCCCTCCTGTGCTCCTTGTCTCCGGGCTGAATGCTCCAGGCTTTGCCTCGGCTGAACAGAGCGGTGGGGAGGATTCGCTGTGTGGGAGCTCACGTCACCAGCATGGCCCGAAACGGTAGCGGCTCTTCAGCGGAGGACGGAGGAGCCGTCACGGCTGCTATTCTCATCATCGGCGATGAGATCCTCAAGGTGAGGAGGCGGCAGATTCCATGTATTATAAGTCAGACAGGATGTGTCATCAATGATCTGATATTCATATCACAGAGAATCATGACTGTGCAGTATGATGAGAATACTGTGAGTTTTGCTTTGAGGCAGATGACAGCTACATAAACACAAAGTGATAACTATACGTCTTTATGTCTATCGTTTATAAACAGTATGGGTTTGAAGTTTAGAGTCGCTTGAGTCTATATTAATAGTCTCTAATAATTACTTTATTCAGTAGTAGCTCATGCATACAGTATAAACCAGGTGATATTTTAGATGTTTTATTCAAGATTTCAAGTATTCTAGGAGAGCAGCAAGTTATTAAAAGAGGAGTAATATAACATAATTGTATGCCTTGAGATTTGACCACTTTTCAAATATGAGGAACCACAGATGTTACTACAGATGTTAAAACAGATGTATTTAGTACTACAGACATTACCATAGATGTACTTACTGGTACAGATGTTAATAGAGATGTACTTACTGCTACAGATTTTATTACAGATGGCCTTACTATTACAGGTTTTACAACTGAGACTTACTACTACAGATGTTACCTACTACTACAGATGTGTTTACTACCACAGATGCTACTACAGATGTTACCTACTACTACAGATGTGTTTACTACCACAGATGCTACTACAGATGTACTTACTACTATGGATGTTAATACAGATTTGATTTACTACTACGGATGTTACTACTATAGATGTTACTACAGATGTACTTACTACTATAGATGTTACTACAGATGTGTTTACTCCTATAGATGTTACTACAAATGTGTTTACTACTATAGATGTTACTACAGATGTATTTACTAATACAGATGTTATTACAGATGGCCTTACTATTACAGATTTTACAATATTACAATTTTACATATGTATATAGTACTACAGATGTTACTACTACAGATGTTACTTACTACTACAGATGTGCTTACTACTACAGATGTTACTACAGATGTACTTACTACTACAGATGTATTTACCAATATAGATGTTAATACAGATGTACCTACTACTACAGCTGTTACTACAGATGGACGTAATACTACAGATATTACTACAGTTTGATTTACGACTACAGATTTGATTACAGGCATACTATTTTAGGAATTACTACAGATGTTCTTACTACTACAGATGTTATTACCGATGTACCTAATACTACAGATGTATTTAGTACTACAGATAGACTTATCATTATGATGTTATACAGATAGACCTACCACTACAGATGTTATACAGATAGACGTACCACTACAGATGTTATACAGATAGACGTACCACTACAGATGTTACTCTGTACAGTTTCTTAGTCATTTTAGAGTCGTCTACAGCTCTGTTCATCATTTTGTACACATGAGATATTAATGTTTGTGGTTGTTCTGTGTGAGTCAGGGTCACACGGCGGACACCAACAGTGCCTTTTTGTGCCAAGGTCTCCGTAAGCTGGGCGTCGCCGTGCAGCGGATCACTGTGGTGCCGGATGTCCGCGAGGTCATCGCTGAGGAAGTAGCCCGACTGTCCCCCTCCGTCACCCACCTCATCACGTCTGGAGGGATCGGCCCCACGCACGATGACGTGACCTTTGAGAGTGTTGCCATGGCATTTGGCGAGGGCCTGCGAGCCCACCCGGAGCTGACCAGGCTGCTAGAGAAGTTCTTTGGTGAAGTCGATCCAAAGAGTGCCACCATTAAACTGGCTATGGTGCCTGAGTCAGCAAAGCTGAACTATGGCACGGACCCAAAGACAGGCCAACAGCTCCACTTCCCGCTGGTCAGTGTTCGCAACGTGTACATCTTCCCTGGCATCCCGTCCCTGCTGGAGCGTGCCTTCGAGAGCCTTTCGCATCTGTTTGCTGGCTCCGGGACAACCTTTCACACACGGGAGGTGTTTGTGAACGCTGATGAGGCAGACATAGCGCCCGTCCTGAGCCGGCTGCAGGCAGACTGGGGAAAGCGGGTGGCCCTGGGGTCATACCCAGACTGGCTGAGCAACTACCACCGGGTCAGGCTGGTGCTGGACTCAGACAGCGTCAAGGAGGTAGAGAGGGCTCAAGCTCAGGTGGAGGAGGAGCTGCCCAAAGGGAGCATAGTCCGGCTTATTAGTGACCCTGTGTCCATCGCCACTGAGGAGGTTTACTCACTTTCCAACAGTGGTAAGTGGCCAGGAGGAACACATAGAGAAGAATTTGCAGATTTCAAAAAAGTTCCTGAAGGGCTGTCAGTGGGGTGACTGTTGATGCTAGATGCACAAAATTTTAGGGATACTTTGTTTTTTCCATTTGTTTCTGCACTGTAGAACAAACATTTTCAAACATTAATATTAAATACTCACAGCAGATTTTTGGCAACTAGGAATTTGCCTTACAGTAACAAAGGTTTCTGATTTATAAGGCATTAAAAATCTACACTTCAAAAACATATTCGTCACGTCTGTCCAAGGCTACTACAAAGTAAGTTATACTACTGAAAAGATACCAAATATGCATTTGGAATCTGGAGCCAAACTATATTCATTGATGTGTCAAAAAATTCATTGTAAATATGATAATATTTATATAATAAATATAAATATTTAAGATGTCAAGTTCCATGTTTCAAAAGGCATAATGTTAATATACACATTACCTACCTTACAATTACAACTATAAGTTGTAACATTTTATTTATTTAATAGTAATACCTAAATGGCAAAACTGTGATATACTCTGATATAAAGACCAGAATGTGAAAAATTTTATACAATTTTTCAAAATTTTTCTGTAAGCTATATAATTGAAGACTATGCAGCTCTGTATCTTCTACTTTGGTGGTTAAACACATCCTAAACCAAAGAATAATCCCTAGAAAAATCATACATATAGAATCAACATGTCAACAGTAATGGCTTATCAAAGTTTTTAAGGTGAAAATTAAAGCCACACCCACCTTTTCAGAGCTGTTATATCTCAAAAGCGAATTACGACACGCCTGAAATTTTGCGCACTCTCGTTTGGGCACAGTGGCATTATTTCCTGAAAGTATGAAGTAAATCTGAGATGGTCAGTTAGAAGGCTTTCAGTGATTTCACAGGGTTTGAGCCAGAGAGAAGGTAAATAGATATTAAGTTGTTAAAATGTGTGTATAGAGGATAGAACAAATGGTGGAGGGATGCTGTTAAGACATGGCTCACTGATTCATAACACAGGACACTTCAATTTTGCCTTTTCTGATGAGATGTTGAGTCATGGTGTATTTTTTTGGATCAGGGTGGGTTACAGTCATACTGACTAATGCCTTTTTAACTGGAAATATCTCTTTGATTGCTAGGAAATCGCTTACTGTTTTAGATAATGATCTGCACTGATTCCTGTGAAATTCTAATTCAGAACATTCTTTTGGGGAAAATACATTAGAACTAGAGCACTTGAAGTACATTTTTAGTATCGCAAAAAAAGAGAATATACTGAAATTCTGATTGTACTAAAATCATTGGGTCAATCAGGTCAAAATTATCACTAAATAAGCCATGAGACTATGGTAAATTCTCCACTTTATCTGGGGGTTTACTGTGAAAAATGAATTCAAATGAATTTAAAGCAAAAGTAAAACTGGGAAAATGTAATACTTTATGGTTTCCTACAGCCACCTGTATCTGAATTCCAGGGCACCACTATAATGAAAGAAAAAAACTTTATGTAAAATGTGGACATGGATCTGGAACTCATTTACTCACTTGTTCAGCAGTCTGAAGTTTCTCCACATAGGGGCCCTATTAGCATGCAAGTCACTTTTGTGCGCATCATTTAAAGAACCCAGGATCTCACATATGCACAGGTGTGCTGTGAGAACTTTCAAAACGAGAGGTGAACTCATTCATTAACAAAAGATGTAGATTTTTAGTTATAGTTTTGGCCCTAGTGTCTGTTAAGTAAAACCAGGAATAGAGTTTGGGAGAATGTTTTGGTGTGCAGAACACTTATGCACACCAATTTAGAACTTATCTAAAATTTGTAGTGGTCACACTGCTAGAAAAGTGAAAGTAGTGCAGTTTTCTTAAAAAAGAGAATGAATACACTTTTGTCCAAACTGTCACAGATCTACTGCAATTAAAATGAAGCTTCCTCTCTAATGTCCCGTAGGATCGCCGCTGGGGGAGAAAGTGGCTGCAGCTCTGAGGACAATAGAGACAGCGCTGGATCAGTATTCGGCTAATGAGATCTGTGTCGGCTTCAACGGGGGAAAAGACTGCACAGCCCTGCTGCATCTGTACTACGCTGCTCTGAAACGGTGAGAGAAAGGTGCAGAAAGTTCTGGGATGGTGCCACTTGATGATATTGTGACCGTCTCATGGATATTTTCGGTAATTACGGGGGAATTCCACCTATATTTAAAATCTCCACATAATTAAATAACAAAGCCATTCAGAGTAGTTTGCTGTGAAATGCTTTGTTCTAGAGAAACTTACAGAGTCAGAATTATTTAGTGGTGGTGAACTAGACGCCCACCTCTAAAAGCCCCCTCACAGAAAGTCACTACATTGTTATGAACATACTGCCTGATGCCTGAGACCTTGTTTTAAAAGTTTAACTGTAGATCTGAGGTAAGCTTTTGGCCTGAAACATATTTTTGAAATCCATTCATGGTGGAGAGGTACATGCAGGGTGCTGTGAGGCAAAATAGTCCCCAAAGAAAAAATGTTTTTTTCAGATTTGACACTATTTAACCATCATCAGCATATCAAATCTCCAGAGACATGTCTGGGTAAATAAGATGGCTTTATTTGTGTTGTAGACATTGTGACCTCTGGTTCCATTCACCACCACTGTAAAGAAATCACTGTCAGTAAATCTCTCTACAATGGGTTTTTGATAGCTGTTGATAAATGTAGCACTAACTAGTGCATAATGATTGTTTCAAAATATCATGATACGTATCGTGTATCGTAAAAATGTCTTAAAGTATCATGATATACAGTTTTTTTTTCCATATCGCCCACCTCTAGCACCGCTTGCATCCTCAGGCAGCATCATTTGCGAACAGTTCATCGTTTGTTAGCAAATAATTGCAGTAAGAAAAGTGCAGGGAAGGGTCAGATGTATGTTGTGAACTCATTTGACATTGAAAGACAATGTCTTAAGTTTACTTTCTACTGCACATTCACCACATAATAGCCACGTTTACATGCAGCCTAATAATCTGTTAATAATCCGACTAATAGCCCAACTGGAATTTAATACATCCATGTGTACACCTCAATCGGACAGACTAGTCCAATTGAGGCCATTCGGAATACAATTTCTAATATAACTGAATGATGTGGGTAATCCTGTAAATAATCCGTTAAATAGAAGAATAATATCCATGTAAACGCCTGTATCTGATTACATTCCCAATCGGAATGTGTAAGTATGGTCTGCGCATGTGCATCGCGTCATAGCGAAAGTTCATGACGTTCAACATGGCAGGAGCAGAAACTGGCTTGCAGAGGAGACGAAGTTTATGCTCTGCTCTTTAAAAGACGGCGGTGGGACAGACGTCTGGTTTATGTCTCAGAACACGACGTCTTCCTCTCGGCCTTCTTTAATAAGTACATGTGAAGTACGTTTTCCTGAGTCTGACATCATTTTAAAGTACTGAAAAACACAAACACTGCTTTCCGCTGCTCGTCTCACTCTGACTGGACTCACGTGATGCTCGTTGTCATGGTAACGGCTACACAGAGTGGTTCTCTATGCATGCGCGTAATTGTGGATCAGATTACTTGTAGTGAGCATGTAAACGGATCATCAGATTGTTGAGTAGAGTGAGCATAAACACCTCAGTCTTAATCTCGGAATGTATTCAGTCGGATTAGCAAAAATCTTTGCATGTAAACACAGTCACTGATAGTCAAGTCAAGTCAAGTCAAATTTATTTATATAGCGCCTTTTACAACAGATGTTGTCACAAAGCAGCTTTACAAAGAATCCGGGTCCACGCCCCCAGTGAGCAAGCCTTGGCGACAGTGGCAAGGAAAAACTCCCTCAAAAGGAGGAAGAAACCTTGAGAGGAACCAGACTCAAAAGGGGAACCCATCCTCCTCTGGTCGACACCGGATAAGAGGACAGACACAAAACAGTATAGTAGATACAGTTTAACACCACTGTGCAGTGCACCGGCCGCATCTCAGGTCAGACCCTCTTAGGACAGGCAGCCGCTCAGCTCAGGGAAAGAGAGAGTAGAGGGGAGGGGGGATGAGAGGGACATAGTTAGGAAAACAAATTAACCAAAAGCTCGATTAAACAGGTAAGTTTTTAGCCTAGACTTAAAGATGGAGGCTGTGTCTGAGTCCCGAACACAGACTGGTAGGCTATTCCAAAGCTGGGGGGCTTTGTATGAAAAGGCTCTTCCCCCTGATGTAACTTTATTTATTCTGGGTACTAATAATGAGCAGCACCTTGTGATCTAAGTGGGCGTGTCGGTTGATAATAGGAAATAAGGTCACTGAGGTACTGAGGATCAAGGCCATTCAGAGCTTTATATGTCAGTAGAAGAATTTTGTACTCAATGCGGAATTTAACTGGCAACCAATGTAAGGTACACAAAATTGGGCTAATGTGGTCGAATTTCCTGGTTTTGGTGAGAACTCTGGCTGCAGCGTTCTGGACTAACTGAAGCTTGTTAAGGTTTTGGCCGGAACAGCCAGAAAGCAGAGCGTTACAGTAATCTAACCTGGACGTGATAAAGGCGTGAACTAACGTTTCTGCGTCCTGTAGCGACGGAGCATTTCTTAATTTAGCGATGTTACGCAGGTGGAGGAAAGCTATTCTGGTAATATTGGTAATATGCTCATCGAAGGCCAGACTGGGATCAATCGTGACACCAAGGCTTTTTACAGATGTGCCTGGTGCAATTGAGAAACTATCGAGATTAAGAGTAAACGTAGGCAGATTATCCCTAGCAGCTTTTGGACCAAGAAGAAGGACTTCGGTTTTGTCTGAATTTAGTAAAAGGAAGTTGCTTGACATCCAGTCTTTAATGTCTTTGACACAGTCCTCTATCTTATTAAGTTCAGTTTTGTCCTCTGGTTTAGCTGAGATACGTTTTAAATTGCTTAAATTGCTTTGGAACATAAAAACAAAACATTGCTTCAGATCATCTTCATTTTTGGGCAGTGAACAGGCCCTGGGTTTGAAAAAAGACTGCAGGAGTGACGTAATTGACCAGTAATGACATTATTAAGTTGTATCCAAGGTTCATTTAGCTCCATCGCAAAGCATGCAGCGGAGAATATGAAACTCATTATCAGTAATAAACCATAAAGCATAAAGAACAGAGCAACTGTTCGTTTCTCAGATTGTGAAAGAATGCGTATAGGTTAAAGAGTGGGCTGATGATTCTGCAGTTCAGTAAAAATACAATCAGTTTGCCGACAGAATCATCCTGATCTTTTTGATCACCATGACGACTTCAGTTCTGGAACAGTAGCTGTTCCAGAATAACAGTTCATATCTTCAAAATCTTATTCAAACTCCAGATAAGGAAAAGGGGTATTAGGACTGCATCCATCTTACTAGCCTCATTGCTCTATTCTGACTTTTAGCTCAGATCCAGTCTTTCCAACTGGAAGGTTCACATTAGTGTAGGTTAGTGACTCATATCTAATGTGAACGAGTCTGCGTCCTAAAGTGACCCACCTGGGGGTATTTCCCAAAGCAGGATTTCTCAGTTTAGCCAGATAACATAAGCCAAAAGTCAAGCTCATCCAATAGGAAAAGAGCTGAAGTACATTCCTATTATACAGTCCTCATCCTTGGGCTTGAGTTAGCCAGCTCACTGAGAAATCCATCTTTGTGGAAAACCCTTCACTGGTCACTTCATTTAACTGGTATCTGGGTTGTATACTGATAAGATTTTAACCACACACGTTTACACTTGGTAGTCAAATGCGTCTCCGGTTAGTCAGATTGAAATCCGATTGCTACGTGGGATGGAATATGCAAGCCCACTCAATTCTCAGTTCTTTGGAAGCCGTTCTCTGAGAGCTGTTTGGATGTTTGAATATAGCACAGTTCCTGTAAGCTATATTTGTGTTGTAGACATTGTGACCCCTGGTTCCCGAAAGTCGTCTGCAGTTTGTTTTGTCCACATTGCTGTTTCGTTTCGTCCATGATTGTCTTCCTCATAGACAGAGATCACATGATCAGTGACATGCTGCATGGGGAGGGGTTTGGTTGTACTGGGAGGGGTTCTGGCTGGTCAGTGTGTCTTGGAGAGACGGATGCATTTACACTGCGGTAACGTGGCTCAAATGCATCTCAGACCACTTCCTGAAGTGGTTCTAGTAATTAGATTTGTATCATTCCTAAATGCATCTTGTGTGCAGTTACACCTGTATTTTTGTGTGGCTTCATTTTTTTGGCTGGCCTCCTCCACATCATCCTGATACACAAGACGCATGAAGTGACCAGGTGTAAAATCAGATCTGTGTCACGTTAAGGCAAAAAATCGGATTGGTGCCACTTTAGCCTGGTAACGTGAACTTAGCCTTACAGAAGCATCCTAACTAGACTAAAGCTGCTTTTCCACTCCATGGTACAGCTTGACTCACCTCGCTTTTGGCACCAGCTACTTCGTCCAACTGTGTACCTTAAATATGTTTTTTTCAGGTGAAAAGTACGTATTTGTACCTTTTCATAACCAAATGTTTTAGAACAGAACAATAAAATAAAAAGCCTGGAGACGAGACGGGGTGTGTGGAGTCAATACAAATTAGAAAATATAATTTCAGTGGATTATGGTACAGTTATGTTCCCTGACTAAAGGTACTGAGATGTACCCTTGAGGGTCCCACCCCAGTGACTGTTTCATACCTTTTTTTTTCTGATAGTGTAGCGACACTGCAGGAAACTGCCGAGACGTGAAGGAGCCAAATTTTGTTCGAAAGAGGCTGATGGCAAAAGAAACGTGCCAATTTAGGTTGCACAAAAAAGGCGATGCAAGAGCGCACGCTAACCTGGTAGCTAACGTCAGCAGATGTGCTTAGCGATTCTCTCTGACCAATCAGTAATCTGTAGCATTTTTACGTCACATTTTGGTATCGGCTCAGCGCACTTGGAACCCCGACAGAGGTGGTATCAAATATAGGTGCTAGATTTGCCTAGTGGAAAACCAAAAAAGGTGAGTAGACTCGAGTCGAGTCGAGCCGGTACCATGCAGTGGAAAAGCAGCTTTAATTTCCTGACACTCTTCCTAACTTTATATGTTTCCCTGGTTAAAATACCTGATATTATTAGCTAATTAATCCCTTCTTGAGCTGAACGAGGTGTGAACAGCAGAGAAACACACTAAACTATACAGTGCAGGGAGTCTGAAAACACTGAATTAAAGGTCTGTGTGTCTCGTCATTCCGGCCTTCTGTCACGTCTTGCAGGTGAATCATTCACAAAGCATAGTAAATTAAAGGCATCGTGCAAGCACAGTTCCCCCGATTCAGTCCACAAAATGGCAGCGACTATACAGTGTGACGTCACGCGAAACGCAAGAATAATATGACTTACATTTGTGTTTACATTATTTTGATTACATCTTTGTGTCTCTGCTGTTTGCAAATCATCAGTTGCTTGGTAACTGTTCTAACAATTGATTATCGGCTTTGATTAATTTGAAGTTTAAGATTTCCTAACTTGAAATAAGTTGCTGTAGGATAAGATATAACTCTTAAATAAATATAATAATAAATGTAAGTCCTAAAATGGTCACATTTGGATGGCAAATGATCCTAGTGGCACTGTTTGATTTAAAATATGCCAATTGCAGGTTTTTGTTAAAGTTGAACCTCATTTTAAAAACCATTGTCTGCCATGTTCGTAGGGGAGGCACGCACCTCTATATTTGTTTACCAGCCTCAAATATGCTCTGCTCTAATGCTTGGAACGTTCTGTATGTGCAGTGTTCCTGCTCGCACTGCATTACAGAGTGTATCGCCCAAGCACGATATTAATTAACGGAGATGATGTTTCAATGTCTTCTTCTCTTTCAGGCGCTATCCCGACAGTAAAGACAGAGTGAAAGCTCTCTACATCCGAATCATGTCCCCCTTCCCTGAAATGGAAAGGTTCCTACAGGACACTATAAAAAGGTAAGAGATTTATCCACCGATTACAATTCAAATAATAATGTTTCTTTATAAATTAGCATCATTTTTATTCAGCATGTTAAATCTATGATTTGGCTGAAATGCTGAACATTAACACTTCACTTACTTTTTGAAAACTACAGTAGACTTTGAGCGCGTGACTTTTAAAGCTGTCTAATGTAAAAAAAAATTTGTTAAAATTGAAAGAAGTAGCATTAATAAACATGCTAAAATATGGTGTCTGTGTGCTGCTGCAAATATTAGTATTTTAAAAGTCAGAGGCGTCGGGTTGGGAGTTTTTTGCGACACCGTCATATGTCTGTATTAACATCACACACTTAGGCTCAAAAAAAAGATCCAGCTCAGTGTTTAGGTCTCAAATGCAAAATGAACATTGTACTAATGAAGATGTGATGACAGTAGTAGATCAGTCTCTCACATCCTCAAAACACATCCTTCACAGTGTTTCGACTGACTTCTCTTTGAATACTCTTTCAGTGCGCTCACAAAAGTCAGATTCATTCGCTTTCCATCAGAAAACTCTATTTAGTTGGATTTCATTGTTTTTTGTTAGATTTCTTGTACATCTGGTACTTGGCGTATAAAGTTTCTGATTCTGATAAAATGTTTTAATTCTTTGTGATGATTCAGGATGCAGGTGACAGCAATTTTTGATAATACTTAAAAAATATTGACAAAAGTTTGTTGGCTTTGTGGATTAATTTGTTTTTCATTGATACTGTGCAAGAAACAATTTTTACCAGGAAAATAATGCAATAAAATGAAAATGTTTGCAGTTTTTTTGCTGGCAGCTCGCTTCCATCAAACTGCAAACACACAGAAACATTTTGTTTTGAGGCATTTTTTTAAGCACTTGTAATGGTCATTTGACCATTTTAAACATTTATTAGGTTCTCAGTTAAATATTTTTGTGATTTTTTTTTCATTTCAATTCATTGTACAAATTTGACAGTTTTATTTGTTCATTATTTTAGTTACACTATTATTTTTATTGCAATTGTGTCAACTTTTTCTTTTTTGTCCACATTTTTTATTTGTTTACTTATTTTAGTTGTCGTTTCATTTTGCACATATTTATCAACATATTTAGTTTTCAGTCACTGTATGTCCTGTATTGTCTTGCTCGGCCACACTTCAAATGAGAATCACCCGAGTCTGAATGAAGCTTGATTGACTGAATGATAGATTGATAATGTGAGCTAAGGTAAAGGAAAATCAGCTTCTGGTTGATTGCTCTTAACTCAGACCACATTAGGCTCACAGTTTGCCGTGTTTTGGTTGATGTTTGTAGATATGACCTAGACCTGGTCTCGGTGGAGGGCAGTATTCGGCAGGCTCTGAGCGAGGTCCAGGAGAGAAGGCCGGAGCTTCGAGCTGTTCTGATGGGAACCAGGCGCACTGACCCTTACTCTCGCACTCTTGCTCCGTTCTCTCCTACAGACCAAGGCTGGCCGGACTATATGAGGGTCAACCCATTACTGGTAAACACACACAAACTCAGTGGCCAGTTTCTTGATAGGCTCTCATACTTGAATGTCCAGTCGTGAGCTGTGATAAAAAGGTGCTGGTACTGTTGTTTTACTCAGTTAGTTGACTGACTATAGCATGAATTATAAATATTTTCAATGGACTGAGCGGATTTTGTAAAAGAGGTATTAATTGCTGACAGTCTGCCATTGTAGTGGCTTATCTGCTAAAAATCTCTGTGCAGATGAACACAGGTGCAACTTTGTTATTAACAGATGAGCAGCGCATTATAACCATGTGTTTGGCTGATATCCTTTTTGTAGGGAAGCCCGTTTATCATTCGGTGTCTGTTTTAAACTGTGGCTTAGTGACTTAGTTTCTTTCTCAAGATTTTGATTTAGTCAAATTCAATAATGATGAATTAATACTTGTAGAGAATGTACATCATTACTTCAACATAGTTTAAAAAAAAAGACATTATTTCAACATAACATCAGAAAATAAGTGATTATTTTGACTTTCTGTTTTAAAACGTTCATTTTCGGCTGGTGGTTTGAGCTGAACTTGAGCGCTAACTGTTTGGAAACTGTGATACTGTAAAACCCTAAAATTTCAATGCGCGCAACCAGGTAGTTCGGCAACTGCGTCATTTGGAGAGTGAAATCTTAGCTGTGTAGAGTGCATCAGTAAATGGCTGTGACGTTTCTCCAAGACTTTCAATATGTGTTTTTTAAGAGTTGTTTGGAAACAAACATTTAGGCAAAACTTCTTTGTTAATGTTATTAAAAATAAACCCAAATAGTAAAAATTAGGAAATAGCAGTTTAAAACATCTGTTTGGTTTTAGATTTTTTTATTTCCTTCATTAAATTAAGAATAGTGGGACATGGATGGCAGGTGTGTTTTTTCCTCAGAAAATAAATAGTGTTTGAAAAGAGTACACAGTCAGTATGTACTATCAGTCGTGGTAAAGAGTAGGTAGTTTATTATAATAACCTCCTCCCAGTATTTTGTGCTTATTGTTGCTGTCGGGTGTAAACCTTGTATCTCAAAATGGTAGCTTTGCAGGTGAAGGAAAAACGTATTTAACTTTGAATGGAAGTTCATTTTGGAGCATTTCTGTTGGCCCATTAATCATAAAATTTTAACACAATGTAAATGCAAACTGATATTTTTAAACTATGTTTAAAAAAAAAAAAAAGACAAAATGCATATACAAGGTTTTGTCCCAACAGTGATGATATGCAATGAGCAAAAAAGTGCAAAATAGCACGTCCACCACTTTGGTCTGGGAACAGTATGGGAACTAAAGGACCGTCGCACCTCTTTAGTAAATCATGATCACTTTTTTTCTTCTTTTTATAAAAACATCTTCATCCACACCAGCAGCGTTTTTGAAAATTTCCACACGAGAACACAAACACTTGGAAAGCGCTTGCATTAGCATACCAGCTCAGTAGGTGGAGATAATACCCCATAAAGTGTGATGCACCCTATGAAGAGCCTTTTGAGGCAGTGCACAAACTTTAGATCATGCCACAAAGCTTAAAGCAGAGATTTTCTTTCAACGTGATGGTGGACTTTGTACCTGCAGGCCGTCAGATCTCTGTAATTTGAGATTTTCGCACATAATCAAAGTTAGATTTTCGCTTGAAAATAAAAGCTTTGAAACGCAAAAGAAAATTTCTTGCTCGCTGGCATGGAGGTTGTTTACACCGCCGTCTCTGAGACGTCCGCACAGTCCTGATCAGGCAGAGAGGCTGTTTTTGTAGCTTTTCAGCCCATTTGGTTATGAAGTTAGGATTTATTTCAAATCTGACTTTGTTTAATACTCATGAAGTCACAGCTCTTCAGACTCATTGAGGCAGCTTTTAATATTTGCTGTCAAGATGACCCACATTTAAAAGAACTGAGTGCAGTACATTCTGCGGTTTAACGAAAAAGTAAAGCCAAATTCAGTTATAAACAGGATTATGACTCCCAAATTACCCTTAAAGCACTCACAGCTCACAGAAACAACCTAGTTGTCAGTCATATTTCAGACAGAGCTCAACATACTTAACTTTACTTAACATACTTAATCTTTATGGTCAATTTGACCCCATTCAGGGTTTTAATGTCTCTAAATAAATTACTGACAATTTTTTTGCTTCCTATTTAGTAATTTTTCCTAATTTAAAGGGAACAACTGAACATAAAATTAACATGAAGATATGTTTTTAGTGTCTTGTACACAATCTGTATACATACATTTTTCTTTGGGGTCTAATTGACCCCAGGCTCTTTTAACTGTAAAAACATAGAAAATATCAACAATTTACACACATTTGTTTTGGTTGTTGTGGATGATATTGAATTTTATTAAAACTTTTATCAAACTTTCCTCTGCTTTAGGGCGCCAACCTAACATGACTACACCTGTAGTAATGCGAGAACCACTGATAATTCACAAAACATCGGGGGGAGTGGGACATAATTTCCATGAAAACTTTGATATTTTCATGAGGTTCGAACTCATGATAAAAGAGGATAAAAGATGTTGGTAAATTTGCGGATAACAGGAAGGTTAATAAATGAGAAGAGCTACAGACATGCACAAGTTTATGGAGTGATGTCAGTGTTTCCAAAAATCTGTGATTTGCCCGTCCACAAGAAAACACTGAGTTTCCAAAAATCTCTTTCTTCTTAAAACCCACTTGTATAGTTTTAACGAAGGTTCTAACATTCATCACCGTTTTCTTATTTGGGATTATTTGGGAATCTACACACACTCAAGAGCACAAAGGAGTGAACAGTTCTGCGGTCTAAGAACACATTATGAATCTGACGTAGACATTCTCTTGCACTGTTACAAATAAAGGTTCTGTGCGGGTTCATTTTTTGTTCATCAAGGTACAAACAGTGTAAATGTGCCCTCAAAGGTATAGCAGGTTTTAAGGTCAAACACAAAGTTTTTTTCCAGGTGAAAAGAACAAATTTGTACCTTTTCATAACTTTTAAAACAGAACAATAAAAAGTCTGGAGACCAGACGGGGAGTGTGGAGTCAATACATCTTAGAAAATATAATTTCAGTGGATTATGGAACAATTATGTTCCCTGATTAAAAGTACTGAGATGTACCCTTGATGGTTTTTTAAAATGGTGTTTTCAGGTGTGAACTGTGAAACTTGCATTATGAGTGGTTGCAATTTGGGTAAAACTAAAGTAAGGCTGTTTTTAATTGTGGTTCATGTTTAGCATGTTTCAAAATCATATTTAGGTGAAGAAACTGTGAATCTAATCTCAATAACACCACATATTAGAGACGTCCTTATATGCAAAAGCTCTAAAGGCACATTGTCTGATTAGGTCTTCATGTTTAGGTTGAAGTTTATTGAGAAGACTGTTTGAATTGCTTTGAAATGTAGTAAATTTCAGAATAACATTTTTGTTATCAACAAGAATATTAATCATAACAATGAAATAATAATAATAATAATAATAATGAAAGTAATTAGTGCTTCCCCACGGGTTGCACAGTGCGAGTCAACTGATTAGGTTAATGAACAGCAGATGCTGTTTTGGATGCCAAAATGTTTTTGCCTCAGTTTTGCCCCAGGGCCATGCACATGAGGTCACAGTCGGGGTCAGCTGGGTGTTGTTCATGAGTTAAATGATAGGGATGTGTGTGATTTCTAAAAGAAAAAGGGGACGATTGGCTCCAGTTTTTACTTCTTAATAGCTTTTGTATGTTGGCTTGCAGAAGTGCAACATATTAAATAGAAATCTTGCCATTTTTCTTCACAAAACTGAAGGCCCTATTTTGGGAATAACACCGAAGGCCACCTATTTGATCCCCTTATGACTTAATATTTCATAATTATGACTTGCTATCTCAAAATAATGAGACGATACACCAACCAGCCACCTAATTAAGACCACCTTCTTGTTTCTACACTCACTGACCATTTTATCAGCTCCTCTGATCGTATAGGTGTTCTACAGTTACAGACTGTAGTCCATCTGTTTCTCTGCATACTTTGATACCCTGTTGTTTAATGGTCAGGACCCTCACAGGACCACCACAGAGCAGGTATTATTTGGGTGGTGGATCATTCTCAGCACTACAGTGACACTGACGTAATAGCGGTATGTAAGTGTGTGTTGCGCTGTTACGAGTGGATCAGACACAGCAGTGCTGAGAGTCAGACCTCAGAGTCCAGACCTGAACATCACTGAAAGTGTTGTGAATGACTTGGATTGTGAGAGGCAGAAAATGCAACCAACTTCTACGACTGAACTTTGGAGGTGTGGAAAAATATCCCTGCAGATTTCTTTGAAAAACTAAAAGTGGGTCTCCTGAAAAGAATGGAAGCTGTAATAAAGTATAAAGGGTGGACGCACTAAATACTGAATAATTGAATATTAGATTTAGTTGTTGAGGCTGTTGCTTCAAGAAAGAAATGAAAGTTTAATGTACAAACGTGCACTCACACATTCTCAATACAGCTACTCAATACAAGACAATCAGCAAAACTTTCTCAAAAGTATTGTTTATGCGACAAAACAGACCAACTCTTCAGTCAATTATCACACACACACACACACACACACACACACACACACACACACACACACACACAAACATGTGATGAAGTGAAGGCAATAAATGGTGAATAATGATGAATGGGCTTTCAGAGTCTGTTGTGCAGCAACTCAATCATTTTAATCAATGCTGCTTATGTAACTGAAACAGCAGACAAAAAAGCGTGTCAAAATTACAAATGATCCTTACTTTACTTCTCAAACTTTCTGCTGTTAATGGCTGTGTCTGTTAGCCTGGTAAAAAGCTCACATCTCATGAGATTTTCTTTCGATTTCTTCCATTGATTTGAATGCAGGATCATGTAATTGCTTGAGGAGGCCGTGGAAAATGGAAGTAGAAACCATGACGGTGGCTGGAGCTGTTGAGATTAGCATTAATGCTCCTGTGTTAACAGTCAGAACTGGATGGCACACCTCAGTGACAAAAATCCATGTGCTTTAAAGGTTTTTGCCCTTTTGTTTTGTAAATACAATGCCGTTTCCAACCGTTTTGGAGGCCCTTCAGGTTTCTGTCGAAGTGAAATTGACTTCCATCTTCGTGGGCAAGCACACAAGTCAGTTTTTTTCTTTTAAAAAGAACAGTATTTTGTGTTTAAATTCCATTTTTATTTTGGCGGTTATACACTTTTTTTTGTTGTTGTGCTATCCGTTTAATCTCAACATGGCCGTCTTCTTGGAGAGCAGGCTGTAACGTTGTAACTAACCAGACGCTCCATAAGGAACAGATCTATATGTAGTTTTTGTCATGTATTTAAGGTTTTAGGGATGAGCATCTAGTAGGCTTAGCAGAAATTCTGTAGCACGGCTGAAGTTGAAGGCTTTATACTGGTAGTTTGGTTCTCTTTGTCCAGACCAAAGAACAAATGATACACTTTTAGTTAGATTTGGTTTGCTTAGCGTTCACAATGATATATTTAACATTGAACCAAAAGATGTAAGCAAAAATTATACGAGTAAAAGGTCACAACTGATTGGGCAGATTTTCTGACATACATTAACTGCAGTAACGTCCAGCGAACTTTCTGGATCATGCTGTTCTTGTTCTGTTTGGGCTCTGGTTTTATTTATGTCTGGTTTTACCTAGACATAATAAACATTAAGCCACAAGACTACCTGCGTTACTCGACCAAAGAACCAAATAGGCTCTAATGAACTGTGAAAACAGAGCTATCGCACCAGGGTTTATTTAAAACCAACCAAACCTGCCAAGTCTGCAACCCCAAGTAATTTGCCAACAGTATTTTCCTCATCGTGCTCGGCAATATGTACCGACTTTACAGCGAAAACAGCATGAGTTGTTACCTTGAGCTGTATCAGTGAAGCCGAGCTACTCAGACAGTGATGGAGAGATGGACAAATAGAGAAGGAAATAAAGTGAGGAGATGATGAAATTGCAGATGGACGTATGATCATGTTTCATGTTTGAAGAGTCAGTTACTCGTATTATTTCATGTTTGAATATTCCACCACAAAAAAAACTGAAAATGCCCATCATCAGTGTTCACAAACCTTTGCTATATAACCAGTATTGGTCCAAATCTGTGGAGCACAATGCAAGTTAATGCTCACTTGAGGTTGTGTTTCTGTCTGTTTCTCTTCAGGACTGGACATATCACGACATCTGGTCATTCCTGAGGACCCTGTATGTGCCCTACTGTATTCTGTACGACAAAGGGTGAGGCTCCTTTCAACACTTTTCCTCATAAAGCATCCCAGGGCTCGACCAGCTGGGCTGAACATCGGTGAAAATATCGGGCTCCCGAGTGGCGCAACCATCTAAGCGTTGGCCCTATCATCAGGAGATCGCGAGTTCGATCCCTGGTGATGCTACAGCCATCCGTAGCCGGGAGTCCGAGAGAGCACAATTGGCCTCGCTCTCTCTCTGATTGGGGGCAGTCCTAACTAGCGGGGTGGAATTGGAGACGACTAAATTGGGGAGAAAATCAGGGTAAAAATTAAAAAAATATATATCACTAATAATAAGTCTGTTTGAATATTACATTTGAATACATTTTAGGAATGTTATGCTGCTGTACAGCATTACGCGTCCACTAACACTATCACTCATTTCACTGCGCCAGCTCGCTCTTCTCGCCACTGGTGGCCATTTCTTTTAGGATAAACAAGGGAAAAGAACAGGAACCATATCAACATATCTCAGGCTGTAAACATGCTGTTTGCTGTTTCTTATATTTATTTGATGTCGCAGCTTACAGTGAGAATAAAACGTAGACATATGTTGTTTAAGCTTTTCTTAATGTGTCACTAACAAGCCAGCTGTCTCGGCCCACAACTCAAACAATGTAACAACCAACTGACCATTCTCCTTCCAAATCTTTACTTGACAGTAGTTATAGGTGTATGCGAAGGTTTGGGCACCCCTGGTCAAATTACACCTTTTGTAGATTTTCTAGTAAATATGAATTGAACATATTGGGAAAGAAAATAATCATAAAATGTGGTCTGTGCAAAAATTCTGGCACATTTTATAACATACAAACATAATTTCACCAGGGGTGCTCAAACTTTTGCATACGACTGTATGTAAAAAGATATTTTCATTATTACATTAAACTGTCGTGGATTCAAAGAAGACAGCCATTGGGACCTGCTGGAGAAAGTTTTATATTTGCCATTCGTGGTGAAGGCTAGTCTGCTCTTGCCTGATTGGCTAAATGCAATGCAGTGGCCACGCTCATTTGCATAAAGTTGAAATCCACTGAACTGTTTTGCCAGACAGTGATACAGATTTTGCGTCAAAGTTGCAAGTGGACGTGTAGAGTAATGGGACTCAACAATGAGCATTTCCTCAGTCCAACATTGAGTCATTTACTGCTGTGGGGTTAAAGGTGAAGGTTGTGTTACATTATTAGAAAGTGGCTTGTTTTGCATTTAAATTATTTGAGAGTTTATTCTGTTTATATGATTATACTATTGTTTATATGTTTATACTATTGAAAATTGACATTTCACAGCCGACAGTCGAATCAGTTACTAAAACACTAAAATTATATCGGAATTTCTTGCTGCTTAAAATGAACGATTATTTGGTTTAGACCCCATTTGTAAATAATCAGTGTGTACCTTTGTGTCTCCTATAGCTACACATCACTGGGCAGTATGGACAACACCTTCAGGAACCCTTCACTAAAAGTGGTGGACGGCAGGGGCATGACTAGCTATAGACCCGCCTACCAGCTGGAGAAAGAAGAAGAAGAGCGCAACTCAAGAGCATGACGATACGAAACATGGCATATAGCAAGACAAACTGAACGGACCGTTGCCTTTTTTAACTCAACAGTCATGAAGAGTGTGTGTGCGTCTGTGAGAGGGAGATACAGATGCGGTTGCCTCTTCAAATGTGATGTGTTTTAAATGACTTTGTTCTTTCTCTCTGTTTGAATCATTTGAAGTTGTTTAGCTGTATACTGTATGTATGTATATGGGCACAAAAGCGAGATGTACGTGTATAAATGTACAAATAGAGTTCTAACAATACATCTTAACTATGACAAGCCATTGCGCCATCACTGTGGATTTATTTGAACGTTCTGATAGACTGAACAGGAGAACAAGATCTAGTATTGCAATTAGATTTAAATGAATCAAAGATGCTTTTTCCCTCAGTTGCTTAAGCAAGAAACACAAACAGAGAGTTTTGTGGAAGTTTTTTTCAGAATCCTCCAACTGCCAGAAGGAGATTTATAAATGCACATACAGCATAATATAAAGAAAATAAATTAAATGAAGCATTTCTAGCAGAGTACAGAAATAATAACATTCATTACATACATGCATTAATGAGTAACGAGTGTATATTGTGATGAGAGGAAAACACTGTGATGCTTGGTGTATACTTCATATCATTATTCATTAAAATACAAATCCCTTCTTTTCAGGGAACAAATATGATGCTAGGTACTTGATATTTTAAAAAAAATCATATTTAATACGATTGTTCCTTTGATAATGTTTTGAAAACATTCATGATCGATACAAGACGAGAGGATTAAACACTTTTCACATTTCTATACTACATTACATAAACCTTTTTTTTACACACACACACACACACACACACACACACACACACATATATATATATATATTATATATTTTATATTTTTAACCCCGTACCAAGCCATGGGGCTGCTGGCAGGCCCAAAATTTCATTACACACACTTCTATGACTCAAGAAAAGCTCCATTAGTTTGCACTGAAGTCCCTGTAGTTACTGAATAATAATCCTTAGTATGTAATAAGCCTGCAATGTTAAGGGGTTAACATATTTGATGTGAAGTCAATATTATTCTTATTACAAAATGCAATTATTAGAACTTATTTTCAGTACACATCTTCAAAATATATTAAAGTGTCATAAAGCAGTTCTGATTGAGTTATTGAGTGTAAAATCATGAACATTTCGCAGTAACACTTTCTATGAATGTCGCATTTGTAAGCATCTATAAACACTTATAACATGTTATAATGTATTCATAAGGCATTATAAACGTGGTTATAAATATTTATAAAAAGAATTGCACTGAATTACACTTTATAGCCATGTTTATTATACATTATGAATTAATGTTAATATAATGCATTATAAATAGTGTTAATAACATGTTATAATTTCAATGCCAAAGAAGTCAGTCCCAGCTTGGAGAGCGTAAAGTAAAGACAAATACCAAGCTAACGGGTGTACATTACCTTTCCCACATTGGGTAAAACACTGATGGTAGCACTAGTTTAAACTCTGACATTTGAAGCCTCTAATGTGCTTTATTGTGAATGTTTTAGTGTTTCAGTAAATCCTTCAGTAAATACTTCAACTTGAAGCCTCACTCTTAACACTGGAGGAGGCTTTAGTACAGTACGCTTCACTTTACTTAGAGCGGACAAATACGACTTATGAGCTCTTATAACTTGTTATGATCAGTACTTATAATGTATTATGTTAACAATTCATAAAGCATAATAAACATGGCTATAACATATAATGCATTTTTATAAATATTTATAGCTATGTTTATAATGTCTTATGAATGCATTATAACACGTTATGAATGTGTTTATAGATGCTTACAAAGGTGACATTCATAGCAAGTGTTACCCATTTCGCTTTAAAAATGACTGGCTTTTTAACTCCTCAGTCTAATGATTCAGTAAGTGTAGCTATTTTGGGGACACTTTACTGTTGACATAAAACGTGTCATTATGCCTTTGCGTTGTCATCACCGGTATTACCAGTATGTGTCATGACAGCTTATACCACACGGTAATGTCTGCTAGGTGTTCTCTGATTAGCAGTCATGACCAAACATTACAGCATCTGTCATGGCAATGAATGATAATGATAACATTACACTGTTGTTACTGGACATAATCTGCCATAACATTACTGGACGAAGGAGTGTTCCAGTGTTACTCTCATTCTTAGGTGTGTGGAAGTGTGGAAGTTTTTTGAGTAGGCTTGTCATGTGCTTAGGAATGTTCGATATTTATTCCATGAACAGATTTTAATGTATCCATATACACTGATCAGGCATAACATTATGACCTCCTCCTTGTTTCTACGCTCATTGTCCATTTTATCAGCTCCTCTTACTATATAGGTGCACTTTGTAGTTCTACAATTACAGACTGTAGTCCATCTGTTTGTCTGCATACTTTGTTAGCCCCCTTTTACCCTGTTCTTCAGAGGTCAGGACCCCCATGGTCCCTCACAGAGCAGATACTATTTGGGTGGTGGATCATTCTCAGAACTGCAGTAACACTGACGTCGTGGTGGTGTGTTAGTGTGTGTTGTGCTGGTACGAGTGGATCAGACACAGCAGTGCCGCTGGTGTTTTTAAACACTGTGTCCACTCACTGTCCACTCTATGAAACACTCCTACCTTGTTAGTCCACATTGTAGATGTGAAGTCAGAGACAATAGCTCATCTGTTTCTGCACAGTTTGTGTTGGTCATCCTCTAGTCCTTCATCAGTGGTCACGGGATGCTGTTGTCTGGATATTTTTGGTTGTGGGACTATTCTCGGTCCAGCAGTGACACTGAGGTGTTTAAAAAACTCCAGCAGCACTGCTGTGTCTGATCCACTCAGACCAGCACAACACACACTAACACACCACCACCACATCAGTGTTACTGCAGTGCTGAGAATGATCCACCATGATGTATTGTGAAGTATGCACTGAGCATCACTCGGTGCTTTCTGTTCATCACTTTAATTACACATTCATTACTCATTAATACATGCATGAAATGAATTGTCTTGGAGTGTAACTGTACTGTCCATGAAATTGCCATGAATATTTCATGAAAAAAATGAGCAAATACTTTATATAGCGCAGTCGCCTCCACCCTGTAACTATTTTTGTTTTTTACTTTTGTGCATACATTGACAAAAAGTTTGAATTTACGTATTTCAAATATTTCAAATTTGTGTCTACTATGTGATGAATACTATACTGTCGTCCACACTAATCTTTCTGGAGTGCTATTTTAGTGGTGTTTAGAGTAGAAGTTTGCAATAGCCAAGATCAGAGGTCACTAATAGGCGGACCGCAGTCCGAGTCTGGACCCAGACGCTGTCCTATGTGGACCTGGACCTATAACTGATAAACTATGTAGAATTATTTAATTTCGATTGGCTGGTCCTATTTTAATCGGCGTAGCTTTTCTAGCCTTTATGGTACCACTTTAGCGGCCCAGGAAACTCGCAGACCAATCGCATACATTGTAAATATCACACGTGACGCTACTCAGCCAATCAGATCTGTGCATTACGATAAGCACTGAGACTCGAGTGAGTGACGCACACACAGGGGAGAGACGTGGCGAGAAACAGCAGTCGGAAAAGAAAGTGAGCCAGAGAAAAGTTAATTCACATGGCGAGCTCTAAAAAGAGAAACTGACTGAATTGTACTTTATTTAATTTGACACTCAGTTGTTGACTACATAAGATGTTGATATGCCTACTAGGCTACTCCAGTTTACAGTATATGGCACTGAATCATGGTGCAACTTTGACATTATGATGTTCTGGACCTTTGCTTGAGGATATTTTCTCTAACTGGACCTTATTTAATTTTAATTAAAGACCCCTGGCCTATATGCTAAAAAGTTGTATTCAATATTATTATTTATAAATGTTAAACAGTCCAGTATTCAGTCCCTGACTTGGACATCACCTCTAAACAAATCCTCTATTACCGAGCAGTGCAGTGCAATGCAGTGGACAGCCACACGGGGGCGGCATTCTCACATTTGAAATATTTGCACTTCTGATTACGATAAATTACAGTTTTTTCTGGCCTGGCTGAATTGAATCAGTGCGTATCGACCCCCCCTCCCCCCTTCTTCCCCGTGTGGAAATGAGTCAACGGTGTGGCAGCGAAGATCGATGCAGGGCAATCTAATAAAGCGGCTGGCTGAGGGTTACACCTCCAATTAGCAGCGCTCACAGCTCAGCATCGCTCCGAAGCGCTGATGGAGCCAGACACTGATCAGGACAATAATAACTGCTTTAAGCACTGATCACATAATCAAAGCGCTGATTTAAAGCAAGGAAATCAATCAAACTTTCATCTGCGCCAGGAGTGAGCAGCTTTCAGATGTTCAGGTGTGTTAGAGGAGACGCGTGCGCTGGATCCTTAACCAGGGGCAGATTACTGACTGGGCCAGTGGGGTCAGTGGGGTCAGTGCCCAGGGGCCTCTGACCATGAGGGTCCATTATGGGCGCTGCCCTGTTGGTTGCCACGAGCAAAAAAGAGGAACTAACCATGTTTAGATATACTTTTGATACACAGTACTGGGCAAAAGTTTCAGACATCTGAGAAAATTAGATTTAAAAAGCTGCTTATCCAGTCAGTAAATGTTTGTTTATTGCTTATAAACCATATTAAATACAAAAACACAAGGCAAAAAAATTCTCTTAGCAAGTGAAAAGATCTTAAATCTAGTTTATATATCTAGTATTTATCATGGTGTAAGCATTTTGTAAATTTTTGTGATTTTAAGTAATTTTATCAAGTTGAATGATCTTACTATTTTGGCATAATTCTTAAAACAAGCAAAACTATCTGCCAATACAGTGAGATAATTTTACTTATATATAAAAACGTCTAAAAAATTAAACCTTTTATTATCTTTTATCACACATCAATTACAGCATGAGAATTATTAGACATGTCAAATAGGTTTCAGGTAGTTTCACTTGCAGTGCATTAATAAAGTAGTGTTTTTTGTAGGGGGAGGGGTTTAGTCATGTAGTTTCACTTGCAGTGCATTAATAAAGTAGTGTTTTTTGTAGTCATGTCCAGTTCCAAATGCAAAACCCAATAGGTGTGATGAAAACTACACCTACTGCCAAGAGAAATACTTTTAAACAGTTTTCTTACGTGCTTATGGTTTTTGCACAGTGTGTTTGAAACTAGCTGGAGCTTTGAAACAATAAAATTCCAGGTTATAAGTCATAATTACAACAGCTAGAAGCTGTCTATATGCTCCTGTGT